GTGGAACTGAGAAATGAGTCTGAGTAGGAAAAGTTAATTTTCAAGGAAAAAAATAAAATCCTACTTCATGATCACAGACCTGGCCAGCAACTCTCAGCCACAGCCCCCAGTTGGCTCAGAAAAGCCTTCACTAATGCTGGAAATAAATCTACTGTGTGTGTGTCTTCCCAGTGGAGGGGAGAAAGAGCTTTATCCTCATTTACAAAGATATAAATTCAAAGAATAAAATGAAAGTATGAAGCTGCCGCTGTGTTTCTAGAGCAGGGCTGAAAGTTCCCCTGAGACAAATGTGAAAGTCTCAGAAATCAACTTCTCTGTTCCAGTTTAGAATGGTTTACCAGTAAGTGGAGAATGATCTTGCTTAGTGGGCAGCAGATTTGCCCTTGAAGCTTTTTTTGCAGGAAGTTAAAAGAGTTGCACAAATGAAATCTTATTTTATTTTGTTTCCTCTTTGTAGTTGAAATTAAATGGGACACTTAGATTTCATAGGGGAAGGTAGCTAAGAAAAGGTGTAAACTTGAAAGTCTACCTTGGAAAAAAAGGAGACAGAGGTGTCTTAGGAACCTCTCTATCCTTCTTGTTGTTGTTATATGCCTTATAGTCAGGCTCTGCTCACAGCAACTCTGTTTAGGGATTCCGAGAGCTGTTGGTAGGTTTGAACTGCCCACCTCGTATTTACCAGTTCAGTGCTTATCCTACAGCGCCACACCAGGGCTTTGTCTCTCTGGTTTCAGTTATTTCACAATGTGCATGTTTCTGTGTAATAGACATTGCAGTACATTCCACGGGAGGTATAAGGAGAATGTACCATGTTTTAATAGATTAAAAACAGAATAACTTTGCAACTTTGTTGTTGTTAAGTGCCGTCAAGTCAGTTCTGACTCATGGGGACCCTGTGTATAGAGTTTCCGAGGAGCAGCTGGTGTGTTTGAACTGCCAACTTTGTAGTTCAAAGCCCAGTGCTGATCTTACAGGCCTACTCCAGGAGTCATCCTAAAGTTTGTTTTGTTTTGTTTTTGCTGTGTGTATGAAAACTGGTCGGCTATCCCTATCTAAATCAAGTTTATTTCTGTTTTAAATTCCTAACTAAAGTGAAGATGATCCCTGATCTTATCATGGAAATATTACGTATATGAGTGCCATTTCTTCTGGAATAAATATTTAAATATGGATTAGCTCTTACATTCTTTGGCAAATCATTGAAAAACAAGAATAAAAAATGTATTAGTGATTAATGAGAGTCCTGTTAATTCGCTGGACCACAAAATTGGTTTTAAACCTTGAGCTTCCAACCTATATAGGGTCGCTATGGGTCAAAACCGACTCAACAGCATTTAACAACAACAAAGTGCTTAATGATGAAGATATTAAGAAGCTTAGAAACTTTCTACATAAATGGACTGTTTCTGCCAATTTTTCACTTTCCTTTTCTTTCTCAAAATATATTTCAAGTTCTACTTCTGAAGTTTCAGTTCATGTTTCAGAAGTTTAGCTATTGACATCTGTGAAGACATTGACATTTCTAGATCAGTAAAGACATTCTTCAGTGGAGATATAGGCACTGTTATGAATGATGTTCTGGCCATTGAGAATATATACTGAGTGTTATATGACAACCAACAACCCAATGACCACTCTTCAACACCCAGGCCTAGGCTCATACATTGACAAAAAGAACAGCTGTCCCTGGACCCAAAAGTGAAGAGCAAACCCAGGACAGTGCAGCTCTGAGTAAAAGGAGAAGAGGGAGGCATCACAGCTCAGGGGAGTAACTTTCATATTGCACCATACACAGAGTGCAGTAAAGTTGTAGGAAAGAAACATTAAGCTTGGTTTTGGGAATAAATGTTTACTGAGGATTTTCATTGGATCAGACTCTAAGCTAGGGGCATCACACACACACACACACACACACACACACACACAACCTAACCCAAGCCCATCACTCTCTGGTCAATTCCGACTCATATCAATCCTATAAGAGAGAATGACAGGACCAGGGCTCCTTTTTGCATCACATTAATATCTATATGTGACTATTAATGTGTATTTTAAACATCTGTCAAATTAAGAGTTATGGTAGTTCCAAAAGCCAACTCCAAACATCAGTTTTTTCAAAGCTTGTTGCTCATGTTGCACATTTTGTTGCTTATAAAATGTGGTTATTTCCTCAAAACATTAACAAAGTTAAAAAGAATAATGGCCATTCATTAAAAAGTACTCTCCAAGGAATATTCCTTTCCAATACAGTCCTGGACTTCTGTGAAATTCAGGGTGGTTAGAATGACCAAATTGGTGAGCACTGGCCAGTGTTTCGGAAAATTTGTCTCATCGCAAGTAGAGTATGAAGCAGTGTGTTCCTCCTTATTTTCTTCCATAAATTTACTGTTTCACTCATTATGGCTTCTTTTCCATTTACCCTTCTTGCATTTAAATGGATGTTTCTAAATTGATTTTGGTTGTTGTTACACAAAGGACAGTTCTGGAGTTGATTTAGTATTTTTGATGCATTTTTATAAGATCAAACTAGGGAAAATTGCACAGAAACTTATCATCTCATTAGACATACTACTTTTATAATTAAAAAGCTATTTTTAAAAAAGATTGTCAAAGTACATAATGGTGCTGTGGGACACTGAGTCCGATCTAACTCCTAGCCACCCTCTGGGACAGAGTAGACCTGTCTTACAGGGTTTCTTTTACTGTAATCTGCATGGAGGAGGCCTGGTTGCACAGTGGTTAAAGCACTCAGCTAACTAACCCACCAGCCACTTGATGGGAAAAAAATGTAGCAGTCGCTTCTATACAGATTTCCAGGCTTGGAAACCCTATGGGGCAGTTCCACTCTTTCCTAAAGGGTAACTATGAATCAGAATTGAATCAGTGGCAATGGGTTTAAATTTTAAGGGAGCAAATCACCTGTTGTTTTTCCCACAGAGCATCTAGCAACCTTTGGTTACAAGCTGCGTGAATAATTTCTTTTAGAAAGGTCAGCACAAGTCTGGTTCCTGTGAGTTGGAAGTTAAAGATATCCCAACTGTTCGACCTCTCCAACATGCTATACTACTCCATAGTCCTTGATAAGAATCACTACGTCTCCCTTTCCTCAAGTCCCAGGGTTCTGCAATGCTCTGCAACATCTCACGAAACTCAGTTGTCAAAGAAAATGGCTGATGCAATAGTGGTGGCTGGCAAGTCCCAAATCTGTAGTTCAGAGCTCATTCTGCAAGGATCTTCTCACCCATGTAATCTCAGGCACTGAGGAGCCCACATTGGCAGGTCAAACAACAGGCTCTTGATGTACGAGACTGGAGGACTTGGTAAATCAAGTCCTGTGATAGGCTGAAAGTCCCATGAACTGAAGGTCAGATATAATGAGACAAATGCAAGGGAGCAAGCTTGTCAAATCAGTCTTGTAAATTGGAGTCAGACCTTGCTCCCAAGGGAAACTAAGGGTGATGACTTGGGTCACATCTCTAAGGTAGTAGCACCTTTAATCATTTGTTGTTGTTGTTGTTGTTGTTAAGTGCCGTCGAGTCGGTTCCAACCCATAGCGGCCCTGTACAGGGTTTCCGAAGCTGTTAATCTTTACGGGAGCAGAACGCCTCATCTTTCTCCCGCGAAGCAGCTGGTAGTTTCGAACTGCTGGCCTTAAGGTTCGCAGCCCGATTTGTAACCACTACGCTTTAATCCTTAGCTCCCTGTAATCTTTACTGCTTGTTGTTGTTGTTAAGTGCCGTCGAGTCGGTTCCAACCCATAGCGGCCCTGTACAGGGTTTCCGAGGGTGTAAATCCTTACGGGAGTAGAAAGCCTCATCTTTCTCCCGCGGAGCGGCTGGTAGTTTCAAACCGCTGACCTTAAGGTTCGCAGCCCGATTCGTAACCACTACGCTACCAGAGCTCCTTAGTCCTGCCTTAATTTTTACTCCTTAGAAATTGATTTATTTCAATTTGGGTCCATAATTACAGATATAGTGGCTAGGATTTAGAATACATAACAAAACAGAAATTTGGCTAGAAGGGCCATAATGCATAATTAGCTATCCAGTGATAGCTGAGCATTTACCTATTGTTTTTAGTCAATTCTGATTCATTGCAACCCTATAGGATAGAGTAGAGCTGCCCCCATAGGTTTCCCAAGGTTATACATCTTTATGGAATCTGACTGACCTCTTTCTCCTATGGAACTGCTTATGGATTCGAACTACCAACCACTCAGCAGCAAGCACTTGACCACTGAGCCACCAGGCTTCCTTTATAATAAGCTCAAAGCCAAACCCATTGCCACTGAATAGATTCTAACGCATAGTGACCGTGTGTAGGAGTCCCAAGGCTGTAAATCTTAACAAGAGCAGAAAGCCTCATCTTTCTCCTATGGAGTGACTGGTGAATTTGAAATGCCAGCAGTGCAATTAGCAGTCCAGTGCTTATCTAACAGTACCACTAGCACTCCTTTATAATGTTGTTGTTGTTGTTAAGTGTTGTCAAGTAGTTTATGACTCATAGCGATCCTGCAAAGAGTTTCCAAGGAGCAGCTGGTAACTTTGAACCACTGGCCATGTGGTTAGCAGTCCAGTGCTTATCCTAGAGGGCCACACCAGGAATCCTCCTTTATAATGTTGTTTTTCTTAAAGTGTCACTGAGTCAGCTCCAGCTCATAGTGACCCCTGCATAGGGTTTCCAAGGAGCACCTGGTGAGTTTGAACCACCAACCTGTGGTCCAGAGTTTATCCTTCAGTGCCACACCATGGTTTTTCCTTTATAATAGAAAATATCAAATACTTTTATTTTACCAATGAGAATCTAGTGCCCAGAAATGTAGGAAGTATTTTTTAGATTTTTTTTATCCCCCCTGAAGAATCTGATGTCAGTATATGGAAGGTAAACCACAAATAATAATGAAAATGAGAACTAAAGGTTCCCTTAAATCTGTTTTATAGTTTGCTTCTCTGATATTTACTGATCTTTTATTCTTTCTCTTCTGCTTTGATTTTTAGTGGCCACAGATGTGTTTAATTCCAAAAACCTGGCTGTTCAGGCACAAAAGAAGATCTTGGGTAAAATGGTGTCCAAATCCATCGCTACCACCTTAATAGATGACACGAGCAGCGAGGTTTTGGATGAACTCTACAGAGTGACCAAAGAGTACACCCAAAACAAGAAGGAGGCAGAAAAAATAATTAAAAACCTCATCAAAACAGTCATCAAGCTGGCCATTCTCTACAGGAATAATCAATTTAATCAAGATGAGCTGGCACTCATGGAGAAATTTAAGAAGAAAGTTCATCAGCTTGCTATGACCGTGGTCAGCTTCCACCAAGTGGATTACACTTTTGACCGGAATGTGTTATCCAGGCTGCTAAATGAATGCAGAGAGATGCTTCACCAAATCATTCAGCGTCACCTCACCGCAAAGTCACATGGACGGGTTAATAATGTCTTTGATCATTTTTCAGATTGTGAATTTTTGGCTGCTTTGTATAATCCCTTTGGAAATTTTAAACCCCACTTACAAAAACTTTGTGATGGTATCAACAAAATGTTGGATGAAGAGAACATATGAGTTTATGAGTTAAGTTTGTGACTGCTCATGATTTATTTGAAGATGGAGCACTGCTGATTTATGAAGGAAAAATAATTTTTTTAAAGATGACATATTTCAGATAGACTTTGCCCAATTCATTTGTTAAGCATTAATAATCGTGCTTTTATGGGGCCTTTGTTTTATTTGAAGAAAAATGTATTTTCAAAAATTCTAGTTAAAAGCTTCTTAACAGTTACCAGGTCATGAGGAAAACATATGGTTGGATAACGCAAACACAGAGTTACACAAAGAACAATATGTATGGTTCCAAACCTCAAGACATATTTTTAGGGCGGTTGTATTGGTAACACATCAGATATTTCTAGTGTACAAAGTCATGTTATGTATTTTGATTCATTTTTATTTCTTACTGTGTATATGTAACTCTTGTAAAAAGTCAGCAGCTTTCTTTTGCTGTTATTGCTCCTTTAGAAACAATTCTAATTTCGAGTTCACCCCAATCCTTTTGTTAAAACTTTTGTCATTGACATTCAAGAATTAAGTCTGAGGATATTGATTTGATCCCTCAAAAATAATAAGAAACTGCTCATCCTAAAGCATTACTATAAAGAGGAACCATATTAAACAGTAATGTCCAATATAAGAAAATGCTTCTGGAATTAATACTGAATACTATTTTTAATCCAATGGTGTTACTTAAATTCCCCAAAATATATCATTGCTTCGAAATGTTTAGTTAAAGCTTAACTTTCATGGTATCCTGAAAATATGCTGATGAAATCTCCATTTATACGATCAGTTTCAAATATGAGACAATCTGGATTGTTCTTGATATTGGATAATAAATAAGTGGTATTATGAAAGAAAAACTTAATTTAGAGGAAGAGACAAAAGGGGAGAAAGGATACTGCAACAGAACATGAGCATAAATCTGAATGCATTTCAAATGATTAAGAAGGTTTGATAGGTAAATAAAGAATGTCACTGTTTTATTTAACTGATAAGGTTTTTGCTATTTTGTTTTTTGCTATTTTGATGAGTAAACCAAATGATATTTACATTTTAAGCAGCTTGTGTGTTGTTTCTATATAATTTCATGTGTGTGAGTGATAAAGTAAGTACTTGCTTATTTTGTTTTTAAAAAAAAAAGAAAGAAATGGATCCCTGCAGGACTATATCATCTAAGAAATAACAGATCCAGTGGCCAGCACGAAATATTTGCCTTGCCACTATCTACACTTTAGTGTACTTTTTTTTTCCCTTGAATCTGCCTACATCCCAGAATTGTTATTGTTAAGTGCCACTGAGTTGGTTCTGACTCATAGCAACCCCATATAGGTTTCCCAAGGAGCAGCTGGTGGGTTTGAACTGCTCCAACCTTGTGGCTCAAACTGACTTTATGGTCCAATGCATTATCCAGGCCTCCTTTATCAGCGTCACACCAGAGCCACAACAGGACTCCCAAAGTAAATCTGAGGATATTGACATTAAGGTAATAGTTGACCAGGAAAGGTCTCCAAACTGGATATTCCAGAGGTTGAAATCATTTAACTTAACCCATTATAGCCTAGACGAGATAGTTTCTCTATGCATCATTGGCTTGGCTAGGACAGCAAAGAGAAGCAAAAAATATTTTGTTAGTTTGAAATTGAATCCTGATACCAAGATTTGAAATAAAAGTACCATCCTCACTTCTCAGAACCAGCAGACAACCTCTGTAGTGTGGTGTTTGCAGAAATAATCTCTCTAGCTAGAGGAACTTCATGTTTAGGACCTTTCCAGCAATCAAGAGTATATATTTGTTTTTGTAAACATGCTTTTGAATTGATTCTGACTCATAATGACCCTCCCTGTTTCTGAGAAGCACCTGGTGGGTTTAAATTGCCAATCTTGTGGTTAGCAGTCCAGTGCTTATCCTACAGCGCCACACCAGGAGTCCAATGTATACATTGTTCTTGTTAAGTGCCGTCGACTCCAATCCTACTCATTGTGACCCTGTATAGGGTTTCCAAGGAGCAACTGGTGGATTTGATTTATTGATTAAAATTAACCGTAATATTGTGGTTCGCAATCCAATACTGATCCTACAACGCCACACCAGGAGTTCCTAGGGGTATGGAATTGGAGCAACACTTAACTCCCACACAGAGGGAGGGCAGTGAGAATGTTTCTTGAAGGAGGGACTGCTGTTAGCTGCCATCTCTCAGTAATATCATATGGAGGTGACCCATCTCCTTACGAACCCTGTATCTCCAAGGCATGCCTTAGAAAAGTCAGTTACAAAGTCATGATCAACAAGGTCATTTCTGATGAAACAGGAGTCCCTTGTGTATGAAGTTGGGAGAAAAAGCTAGGAAGAATCCAAATATGCTTATAATAGATCATTCTGAGTCAAGTCATTAGTAAGTTTTGAAGTTTTATGAGTTTTTTTAATGGTGTCTGTTTCTCCATTTTGAAAAATTAATTTAGTTGATTTTATTAATTTTGTGCTGATGGCGTCTCTCCAAAATGTATGAGTTATAATACCAAAACCAAACACCCAAACCCACTGCCTTGAATCGATTCTGACCCATAGCAACCCTATATAAGATTTCCAAGAGCGTAAATCTTTACAGGAACAGGCAGCTTTATCTTTCTTCTCATAGTTAGCAGTTCAATTTCAGGGCTCCTTTATCACATAATGATTTTAAAGAAAAACAACAACAAAAAAGCACTTCCACGAGTTGATTCCGAGTCATCTGTTAAGTGCCATCGAGTTAGTAACCCTGTATAGGGTTTCTGAGGAGCAGCTGGTGGGTTTGAACTGCCGACCTTGTAGTTAGCAGTCCAGTGCTGATCCTACAGTGCCACACTAGGACTCTTTACAGGAGCAGAAATCTTCATCTTTCTCCCACGGAGCATCTGTTGGGTTTGAACTGCCAACCTTATAGTTAGCAGTCCAGTGCTTCTCCCACAGCAACACTGGGATTCCTAGATGATAATACTAATGTTACTACTAACACACAGTGGTTATTATGGGCCATGCACATCAACTCATTTATTCTCTGCCACAATCTTTACCATTTTACAGATGAAGAAATAAATTATGGAATTTTCTGGAGATTGCATAGCAACTAGGTAACACAACCGGGATACCAATAAATCCTTTTTTCATTTAAAGTTGTTATGTTGCTGATGTGAAGTACCCTAGAGTTGGTTGTGACTCATAGAGACCCTGTATAGGGTTTCCAAGGAGCGGCTGGTGAGTTTGAACCACCCACCTTGTTATTTGAATGGGCCTTGTGGCCCAGTGCTTTATCCCATGGCACTACACCAAGACTCCATAAAGTTGTTATTTTGTTGTTGTTGTTAAGTGCCATCGAGTCGGTTCCGACCCATAGCGTAAAGGCAAATTTAGAAACAACACTGTTTTCAGACAAGAGTGGACAGAAGGCTTCTATATCAGAAACTGTAACCTGCTAAGAAATTAGTTGCTGTTGAGTCATGGGCTCCATGTGTATCAGAGTAGGGCTTTTAATGGTTCATTTTTCAGAAGTACATCATAGATCTTTTTCTCCAAGGTGAACTTGAACTTCCAACTTCTCAGTAAGCAACTACACGTTAACCATTTTGTACCATTCAGGGACTCCAGTAACATGTTCATATTTAAATCTGCTACTACTGGGTAGTGTAGTGGTTACGTATCGGGCTGTAAACCGCAAGGTCAGCAGTTCGAAACTACCAGCTGTTCCACAGGAGAAAGATGAGGCTTTCTGCTCTCATAAAGATTTACAGCCTTGGAAACCCTGTACAGGGTCGCTGTGAGTCGGAACCGACTCGACGGCACATAGCAACAACAACTGGTCTGACCTGTACTGTAAAGATCTGGGCATGATTTTATTCAAACACATTTTTCAAAGTTTTCAACAGGACTCCTAATTTGGGACCTCTTGTAGCTCAGATTTCTGTCCCCTCTGGAGCTGTAATTCAAGGTGCTCATAATTAACCCTGACTTTGACCACTGGCCCACAAGGCATAATGTGCCTCTCTCTTTCGTGGATGCAAAAGACATTCTTGTGTGCACTCTCTTGACAACAATTTACCTTTGTGTCCTATAGGGTAGGTATGGCATCAGTTTGAAACTTTAACATTATTTTCTGGTTTGGAGCCTGAAAATATTTGAGTAAGTAAATTTGAACACATTTTGAACAAATTTTGAGCAAATCAGAACATTGCATTTTTCTGATCGTTAGTACCTAAGATCTCAAAATTATACAACTCAAAATCAGTTTAAAAGAAAAGCATGAAATATAACAGTAAGGAAATGTTGCTTTTATTCTAGTATACAAAATTATCTCATTCACAGTTTTCTAGAAAGTTATTTCACCCCCATCATATAAATACACCTAAAAAAACACAAAGCTTTCCAAACTTTTGAATGGATACTCCCCAAAGATTTAAAAGAGTACTTTTTGTAGTCTGTGCTTATCAAGTAAGTTATCTAGTGACTTATTTTTCTTTATCCTTAAGGTAGCTACTTGAGAACACATAAATCAAGTTGTAATTTAGTATACCATCCTTGACAAACAGATAATAAATTAAAGAAGGATGTATTTACCCATTTGATGAAATAATTGCAATAAAAAATTTAATTGCTAGGAAATAAAAATATTCTAATAAAACTGGAAACTTAATTAGCATGTTTTTAGGAAATGTAGTACTTTTAAATTTCAGCCTGTTTTTGTCTAAATTTAACCTCCATTGTCTAAATTAGTTGAACATTGCAGTGTTTGAAAAGTCACGATTTTACCTGATTTATTGCACTAAACTACCTGGGTATAAAGCTGCCATGTAATTTGTTCATTTAAAACCAGTTTTAGGACTCTGTGCAGCTTGACATATAAAGTTTTATCCTAGTGATAATACTCTGAAATAATTAATTTTTATATTATTCAGATTGAAAACTGCATAGAAAACCCCTAATTAAAACATTGAGGCACTAACCAGAAAAATGAGTCAGTTTTTGGACTCTCAAATGGTGTAACTGGAAAATCTTTTGGAACTTATAATTACATACATGTTGTCATCACAAAGAATTGAAAATTCATCTTTTGTTTTGGTAAGGTATCCTAATGTTCATAACTTCCATCTCTCTGGGATGTGATCATAAGGTAAATTATATCGACTCAGAGCCAGAAAGACATTTGTATCTTGGGGAATTTCCCAAAATGGAAACATTTTTGTATAATTTTGATTCATTTCTGTCTAGCCAAAGATGTATTTTCCACCTAGCAATGAATATCAGCCTCAAGTTAGAGGGGGCAAGCCACTTCAAACACAGTACAGTCTGTCAAGCACTGAAAAAGAATATGGGCAAGTCAGCCAGCGTTCATA